GTACCATGAAATTCTATCTCTATTTTCACTTTCATATCAAACATTCAAAGTAAAAAATTGAATTTAATGATGTTTGGATAATTTAGGGCCCATGTGACAGAATTTTTGAAAAGCTGAAAATAACTGAAAAGTTAATATTAAACATATTTTAATAATTTTTGGGAAGTAGTCCTACCAATCTGACATTTAACAAGTCAAACTTACATAAAAAAATTTCTCTGTTTCTTTGTTCGAGTTTAACCTTTCTCTGTTTCTTTGTTCGAGTTTAACCCTTTTGGCAGACTAATATGATTCATAAGCACATCGGCAAATCAAAACGTTGAAATTAGAAAATGGAATGGCATAAGAAAGTTTAATCACAAAGCTTATAATATTGGAGTTTGTGTTCAACCCCTTCAAAGTTTCTAACCTTTTGGCTTGTAATGAATCCACAATATTATATAGACATCCTGCAACTTCTGAAAAAGGTTTATTTTGTTGTGAAAATATTTTATAAATTTGAATATCTAAGCCTACTGGTGACAATAGATGTTGACTATGGCCTCTCCCGCCCATAATTTTTTTTTTTTTTTTTTTATAATCGTGANTTTTTTTTTTTGATAATCGTGAATGTCCGGGCCAATTTGCACTCACCTCGACTAATCTCACGAAGTCCTGAAGTTTACTGTCGGGAACTCACCTCAGTTGCCATAAGGGGACTTAAACTGGTGATTACTGAGGAGCAAATCCAAGACCTGACCAATTGAGCAACCCATCAAAATTAAAATAATGAATTCTTATCCTGCTCATAAGCTCTCAGCCCTCGTCTCAACTAATGCATGAATAGATTATTGGTGAAGTCAAATTCCGCTCAATCACTCACTAACCATGTTTTTCTCTTTTCTTGTGAGAGACCTACAACATGAGAATAAGTTAATTTGCAAATACAATCTTGATTTCGTCCGTTTCTTGGCCTTGAAGGCAAAAAAAGTCACCAATTCATGCCAATAATTTAAGGAACTTCGACAAATAAAGTGACCAAAGCAGGCAGACAGACAGACTCACACTCAAAGGAGCCATTCAGAGAAACCAAACATGGAAATGAAGCGAGATTTAGAGAAGTTTTCAAGGGCAGACAGTATCCAATCAATGCAATCTGTGGAACCGAAGGAAACAGGAATTATAGAAGTTCCCAAGGAAGATTAAGTACTAAGACGACGTGGTTCGTTCTCTTTTTAGAGGAACAAAAATGACTGCCAAACAAGGAGACATGACTTATAGCAAACACGAAAAATCACACATAGATAAGTATTCTTTCCACTCCTTAGCCTTAAAGAGCAACATAATAATAAGCATACAAAACAAAGAAACCCGAAAGTGCAGAGACACACAACGGTAGCAGCAGGTACAAATTCAAAGCACACGACGCGTGGAAAAGTGAAGAAAGAAGTTCGACTAGAAAAAAGAAGACCAAAAAACTGCAGTGTTACCAGGAGAACAGTGAGCGATCAATTTATTAACTATATTTTTTCAGGTTCCTTATTTCTTCATTTTCTTCTGTAATGGTAGGAGTAGATACAACTAGGCAAGACAACCAAGGACAAAATAGCTTTATGATAATCTGTGTAGTATCTGTTTATGCATACCAAACGGTATCCGATTAATGCAATCTGCGGAAGAAAGGAAATAGGAATTGGAGAAGATTTAAAGAAAGATATAAGTACTGGGAAGAGGTAGTTCGATTCTCCTTTTAAATGAAGAAATAGATTGCCAAACAATGAACACAATCTTCAAAATCTTAATTTCAAAAACATGATAATAACTCATAGCATATACACAAAGTACAAGTCGATAAGCAAGCCTTAAGTTATATCGTGATGATATGAGTTGAACATGTACGAAAATAAGAATGAAAATGCACAACAAACCAGAAGGAAAAGTTTATAATTTTCACATCAATATCAAGCCAGCACGATAACTACAACGGAAGCAAACCAAAGCAACCCTAGCCAACCGACAACACTCAAAAGTTTATAGAATGTAAAGATGCCACCTCCTCTTGTCTTAGAGCATCAACGTCACAGCAGGAGACCTAATAAGACAAGTGTCCAACTTATATGAAGACATACAGATGTAGAAAGTGAAAGCATTGTGCTTCAGTTAATAGAATTTGTGACCGTGAATTCTAGATTTTATCGAGCTTTTCTGCTTTGACGACAGGATTTGCTTTGGCTATAGCATCTTGAGCAGCAGTCCGGTAATCAAATGGACAGTTGTGTTTGTCGGAGTAACGATGAACCGAACAAAATAGATTTCCACACCTGCAACTGAAACCTGTTAAACCCACACGCTTACGGCAAGCAGTGCATCTGTTCGGGCCCTCTTTTCCCTTCACCTCTGAACTCTGGCCTGACAACAAATCGAAAGATGTTTGTGTAGGAAGAACTTTTAACTCAGCTGCTCCAGCTTGCATATCCACCGCACCAACGTCAATAGACTCTTTCTCCTTGCTCATTGAGCTGCCATTGACTATATTCTCGATTGATGAAGCAGCGAGTTTGGTCTGTTGCTGCTTCAAGACCATGTCCTTGTGGCATTTGGAACACATATTCATGGTGGCTGCACTACCAAAGAAGCCACAGTTGTTGATGCAAAGAATGGGGCCTTCAGGAGTTTGACAGCCTGTCTCTTTAGAAGACTCCATTAGCACAAATATGCTGCCATTTGTCAGGATACGGATCAACACGTACACCAGAAAGGCACTCAGGTACAAAGCAATTAAAGAGTACGGACAATTAAGCTGAACATTAATGCATAACCGACGACAAAAAAAGTAAGAAATCATGCAACTTCTGATATCCCATTGCATACTTGATATAGTGAGCAAATCTAGACTAACTGAATTCCAATTGATTATAGATGTAAGGGGTAAATCAGAGCTTTTTGCAGACAATTAAACAACTCTTTGAAATTTATTTCAGTATACCGTGAAGATCTATTTTTCAAGTTTACATCTGTTAACATAGACCAGAACCAGAGATTTCCTTAGAAGTGAAATTAGGGGCAAAGGGCATTAGGCAAGCATTCATAATCTTCTTAGTGAAAAAGATTATTCTTGTTGATCAGCATAGTTGATTAACGAGAATAACAACAGAATTAACACTATCTGGAGAGAGAGAAGTCGAAAACGACAGAATTAACACTGTCCGATCATCCATAAGTCACTTATGAGGGTAAAAAACAATATCAACAAGTTCAAAATGTAGTATAATTTAATTGTTCAAAATTCGAAAATAACTGCACAAACCTAAAAGGAAGGGTTCCCAAGCAGTCTCATTCTCGTTACCAAATTCAACAAGTGCATGTGTTCAACAAGAAAAATAAAATAAAAAAAATCCTATATTCACGCATTTGTAACAGACCATTTTTTCCGAAAAGCAAATATCGTTCGCCCATGTGAGTAAATTTAACCCCTTGAACATACATATATTTCATCAAATATTGGTTAAATTTTGAAACTTCACGCAAATATTTATACAGATATGAAAACAAATTGAACCCTAATTGAAATAGACTAGAAACCAATGAAAACTCACCTGTAAATCGGGAAATCAAGAACTACAGGCTGATCTTGACTCGAAAAAATCGAGCCAGACTTTAGATCATTTCTGAAACGCGAGAAAGTAAGAAAAAGGACAAAATATTCAATTTTTAACACAAAAATAAATTAAGAATATATAGATCATAAAATCGGAGCAAAAGTACATGCACAATAACTGAAGATTAACTGTGAATAATACCTTAACTCGAGAAATAATGGGATCAGCTTCAAAGGTGAAGAGAGCTGAAGGGTGTAAAGTAGTGAACTTTTTTCACCACAATTTTGTGAATTTATAAGAATAATTACTGGGTCAGGTCAGGCGTATAGAAAAGCCCTTGCCAAACTTAGTTGGATTAATTATATCAAAAGTTGTACATAAGGAACTACGTTCCGTCACAGTGGAAATTGTACAAAAGTGGTACATAAAGGGTTACACCTCCCTCACATGAAGATGGGACACACTGTATAGTTTATTTTATTTAAGTGAGTCCCACCTCGTATGAGGGGATGTACAACTTTATATACGCTATGATGTACCTATAGCAAAGCACACTTTGTTATTACCATTTTGCCGTTTCGGGATAATTACGTACATGCGTAGCTTCTTTCTTTTTTATTCCATTTTGTTCAAAATCAAGATTTTAGCATGTTTGTCTACTATTATTTCAAAAAAATGTTTGTTATAATAAGATTATCCACCACACTTTCACCAAATAAAATATTCTACACATAAACCAATAAAATACTTTAAATTTCAACCACACATTCTCCAAAAAATACTATTTATTACCATATTTTTCTTCCAATAATGGGAGACAAACACACCATTAGTTGATTTTAATAAAATATTTGACAACAATTTGATGAGAGTTGTTAATTTTATAAAATTAAGTTTAAAAAATTAAATTTAAAAAAAAAGAGGAGGTCACACGATAACTTATTTTTGACATTTTTGCTCCAATCATTTGCAGGATTGATGGTAGAGAATCGTCGTGAACCATAATCAAACACGTAACGATCGTGGTTAATAGTCGATAATCAAAGTGACCTTACTTGATATTTTGAGATTGATGAATTGTGCGTACGATTAATTCCTTTAATTTTACCAAGTATAGGCTTATTGACAACAACAATATTTCTCTTATGCTTTTCTATTTATAGACATATTCACAAGTGAAACCCCTTTATATAGATAAGCAAGATACCTCAACATGCAAAAGTCACTCTTTAGTATGCGATAAGATATATCATGTCACGAGGCCATTGACGAGGGTACGTGTCCTTCGCAAAATATCCGATGGCGGGAGCACGCTAAAGATACGTGCGATATGGCGGGAAAGAATCTCCGCAATTCAAGCATTTATATCCCTTTCGATACGCTATTCTTCTCTCCTCCACGCACTGATATAGAGTTTCTAGAATGGGGAAGACGAAGAAACCTCGGGCTTCGGAGGAAAATTTAGAGGTAGAAGATGAAGAAATTGAAGAAAATCAGGAGAGTTTATCTGGATCCTCTTCTTCTTCAAGCCACAAGAGCTTATATGATGTATAATTCATTCTTTTCTTTCTAATTTTTAACTAATTTTAGTTTTCCGTTTTTTGTTGTTAATTCCCTCTTTCCCCAAATCTGTAGTTATGATTAAAAGAATTGACAAGAGAGGGGTGAATATATGAAATCACTGTAAAATTTACATAGAACAGGAGTTAGTTGTCGATTTGAATTAACAAGAGCTGATCTGATTGCAAAATTATTTATTTTATTAGACCTTAGGTAGATTTTACTTGGATTATTTGAAGTGACTTAAAAAGATTTAAGTTTAGTGAAATATAAAAAATGAAATTCATGCTATGCAATAAGGTTGCAGACGAAGAATTAATTTTTTAGGCTTTTAGCTGTATAGGTTCAATTTTAGGAGGAGAGACTCAAAGCAGTGCATACAACTAGAGCGTGTTGGATGTAGTGGAGAAGTGCTATAGAGAAGAGACCCTATGTGATAGGAAGAACCCTATAGATTATGTATTAGACTTTCACACTCTAGAGAGAAAATCGACTACTTTCTGCTTTATTACTATGATCAATTGTGCTGGTTCATAAAAGAGGTGTTGTGCTTTATTGCCAGCTTAACCTACATGATGTTTCAATCTGGCTCAGTATATGGGGGAACTGGTGGATATATTATATAGCCTAATTCAATATTTTAGTGCTTTAAATTTTCTGGAGTTAGGCTGGAACATTTTGTCCATTGGAAACTTTTTTGTCTGTCATATGTATATTTATACCGATTGCGTTTCTTCAAACGTTGATTCACATAGTAATTACTTGCTCGTACCATTTAGATTCTTGGGGTGGAAAAAACAGTAAACCAGCAGGAAATAAAGAAAGCTTACTACAAGTTGGCTTTGCGCCTACACCCTGATAAAAATCCCGATGATGAGGTAAATTATACAGTTTCAAGTATGTTGAATTATTATCTACTAGAAGACAACTCTTTTCTTTAGAAAAAATTAACTGTTCAAGTTTCCATATGTAGGAGGCCAAGGAAAAATTCCAGCAGCTGCAAAAAGTGATATCCATTCTTGGTGACGATGAGAAACGAGCAGTCTATGATCAGACTGGTTGTGTTGATGATGCTGTAAGTCATGCAGCAGACCTGCTATTTTTGTCATTATTTGTTTAACTAACCAGTAATGATGAGTGAACTGAATTAGGCTGAATATAATGGATTTTTTGAATGGAAAAATGATTTTTTTTAAGAGAATGTGTGGTTGAAATGATTTTCAAAAAATATCCAAAACAAGCTTTTATTGTGCTATCTCACACAGAAGAGAAATGAGAAAATAAAAAAAATCATTACTTTTTCAAATGCTTAAAATATTTGATTTAACGAAGCTTCAACTCTGGAGATTCAATTTAAATATAATTGGCTTAATACTAAACACTATAACCTTTATGAAATCAAGCTCAGATAATTAAAAGGAGCGAATATATTGAAAACTTGCACACATTGAACTTTTTAAGTGTTTATCATGTGGATTAACCTCAGTAGTCTGTTATTTGTTGAATTGTGAGAACTCAATCTTATGGTTTTGTAACGAAATATTTGCAAGTAATGTAATCTAAGAGAATGATGTCTTGTGCAGTCATTCACGAAGAATCCAATGCCCTTGTTTGAGCTTAATTTTCTTCATATTTATTTTCAACCTCACACACTCTAAATAAAATAATTTTACATGTAAAATTTAAAAATTTTCCTTATTTTTTAACCTCATATTCTCCGAAAAATTACTATTACATAATCTATTTCTCCCAAAAAATGGGGCTCAAAAAAGACGAATATAAACTTTTTAGACACGTGATGGGTTTGCTGTTTACTTATTGAGCTACCGACATGAGAATATAATAATATCTTCTGTGTTTACTTATTATTCTGAGAGGAATTGAAGCTCCACTGTTTTTTTCATCTACTCTGAACACGCCTAACTTCAACAGGATCTTTTTTTTTTTTTAGGTTGATTATGTCTGTGTTGGGCATCAATCTTAAGTAAACAAATCCAAGCTGACATCTATTAGAAATTGGATTCAGTTCAATGCTATACAAATCCTATAAAATGAAGGCCACCTTGACTTAAACAAAATTTATTGTACAACGCTTTTCCTTAGTTCTTAAGAAAAAGGCACGTGTCTTTCTTCGCTGGTTAACAGGACCTAGCAGGAGATGTCATCCAGAATTTGCAGGCATTTTTCCGAGCAATGTACAAGAAGGTTTTTATCTTGTGATTTTGATAGATTTTGAATTTCAAGTTGATATTCTATATCCGTCATATGAGCAACATCCATACCTATTACAGATCACCGAAGCTGATATTGAAGAGTTTGAAGCAAACTATAGAGGCTCTGATTTGGAGAAAAAAGATTTGATTGAAATGTACAAGAAGTACAAGGGAAACATGGGCAGGTACATATTGAGATTCGGTTGTTTTTATCATTAATCTCAAGATTACTGGTTAATTACTTGCATTCCTTTTTCAGGCTTTTCTGCTGCATGCTTTGCTCAGATCCTAAGTTAGATTCACATCGATTCAAGGATATTATTGACGAGGCAATTGCTGCAGGTGAGATATCTAATATTTTCAATTAGATGAATTGTAGTCCAAATAATTCACTGCAGATGTTGCAAATCAATTGTAAATGTTTTGATTGGACTTGAAAATAGATAAACAGTTATATCAACGACGATACCATATGTTTTGAAATAATGATTTTATCTGGTTACTCTCAATACCAATTCACCTTTTGAGTTTGTTTGGGATGAAGCCCTAATCCCTTTTATACTTGAGCGATAACAAACGTAACAAAAACTGAAAACTAGTAAAGTGAACACAGATTTACAGTGGTTCATTCTCAGTGTGAGTTGCATCCATTTACCGCTACGGGTTTTCCTAAATAGTCCTATAAGTAGCAGGATATTAGGACAACCTAATACATATATGGAATAGTCATTTTAGAGTTGTTTATCCTTTCTTTTCTTTTTTCCCCCTCGTGCTTAAATAACTCATTCATTCTCTAATGCGTCAATCACTCTCTCATACATGTATTTGCAGGAGAGCTCAAGTCAACCAAATCATATGAAAAATGGGCTAAACAGGTGTCAGAAACAAAACCACCTGCAAGTCCATCGAGACAGAGAAAGAAGTAAGTCTTGATTCGGGGCTCTGATATAGTTTCAGGAATTTTCTATATTTATTTTGGTGTGACAACTTGATTACCTTTTCAGGTCAGTGGAAAATTCAGAGGATTTATATGCTATAATCGCAAAGCGACAAAATGAGAGGAAAGGCAAGATTGATTCAATGTTCTCATCTCTTGTTCAAAAATATGGAGGCGGCGATGTAGTCCCTGAACCTAGTGAAGAAGAATTTGAAGTTGCTCGAAAAAAGCTTGAAAGTCGGAAAAAATCATCCAAACGTAAGTAGCTTGGCATTTTGAGTGTTGTTCGAATTTCTTTTAAGAAGTTGAATGGTTTCACCCAAATCTCCATCTAAAATGTACAGCCGGTGTTCAAATTTGCGTGTTATTTAAATAAAATTGTTGCAAAAATGCCTAAGATTGTCATGTTTTTACTGAATGTTGAGTGCTTGTTTTAGTATTTATATGAAGGTAAAAGGAATTTAAGTTAGGGAAAAGAGGTTGCTCTCAGTTGAGACTTGAGAGAGGGGAAGAATGTACCTTTGGAATGGCTGGCTGGTTGGTTATCTTCTTTTTTATTGTTATTCATTTTATCGTCTACATAAGAGTCGTGTATCAGCTAATCCGTTAATACATAAACGAAGTGATGAATTATGCAACAAAGTTTTAGTTACTAAAAAAGTAATCAAAATTTTACTCCTCGTGATGGATATTTAATTGTCTAGAAAGAAAGATCATTAATTTTATAAAATTCATTCAATTATTTATTGTCATTTATTCGCGGACAAAAACAAAAACAAAAACCATTTTAGGTAGACCAAACAAATTGACATTTCACCTCAACGATTTGAATTTTGATGCGAGACAAAACTCTAAATTTAACCATATTGGATAGGAGTAAGTTTATGGATTATGTCATTTGTACATTTCAAGGTTGACATTATTATTGACATTTGCCTTGCAAAAAAAAATATTATTCTTTTTAAAATTGTCAAATGATACTTTGCCACATGACAAAGTGTAAAAATGATTGTAAATTTATATGGGAACATTCTCCAACGCACCCCTTGGTTATATTTAGGAGTTAAAAGAGATTGATATTATGTGGTGTGCCTGGCCGAGCTTAACAAGTTTTTACAAATTAGAAGCCATTTTATTTAATTTAAATTTTATTTTCAATAGAATAATGTTTCTGAGCCAATGGCGTTAAGTACTAATTTATGTAATAAAAGGGTTATTTATCGAATGTATCACAATTATATTGGGCAATGTGACGGTTCTACACATGAACTTGACATCAAAACTTAGGGCTTGTGTGGGAGGGATTAAAATCAGATTAAAATTAAAAATATAGCCGTTATTGTTGACTTTTATTAGACGAGTGGGGCCCAATAACGGCCATATTTTCAATTTTAATTGGCTTTTAATCTCTCCCGAACGGGGCCTTAATAGCATTATTCTTTTCAATAAGTTCTCTTGCATGTGGGAATCACAACCAGTACAAATTTTGAAAAATGAGTGGCTATTAGGTTGGAAAGCACTTTTTTTGTCATGTGATCTAAGCTAATGTCGAAGAGACAAATTAATGTATTTAAATTTTCTATAATTGAAAAATCGATGAACTTCGATTCATGATAAATTTATTTTTCCAAATATTAAACTTTCAAGAGTATCCAATTTTGGCATAAAACTGCAGCCACAACTAAAAATGCTTATTGCTTAGTTATAAAGTACCTTTAATTACTCTCTTGATACCCAATGATACAAACATTTCATACCAATGCACATCAATAAAAAATAGAAAAAGTTTTAGAATCTTGCCTTTTGCTCTACAATTCCGAGTCGAATTGTATTGGATAAAAATAAGTAAAATAAAGTAAGGACAATACTATACGAACAGATATAACATTCTTATACTTCACTTTATGAATCATGACTCTAAATTAACATATTAGTATTCCAATCACTCTTGCAAACTAATAATCTTTGTTTCCAATAAATTGGGATATCGATTCATCAGCATGTACTTCTTGGGAACTTACTAATCTAAATGCAAGTGCTAAAAAGTTTTGGCAAACAGATAGAAGGAAGAATAATATGAAACCAACATTGCATTTCTCGCAATTTAATAAAACATAGCAGGTCTCAAAATACAAAACCATTAAATAACTTTAGCAAAGCATACTACCATACAAATGTAATCAAGGTTTGTGAGTAATGGAGCTAAATTATAAGTCAAAGGATGAAAAACGCACTCTAATGCTGATGATATATAGTCTGCCACGCGACAGCACCATTCCTTGATTGACAATTTGAAACCGAGAATTGGGCATTTGAATCTACTGTTCTGCTTCTTTGTGCTTCTTTTTCTTCTTCTCGCTTTTATTTGCTTCATGATCATTTCCAGCAACAGCAGAGTCACCATTCTCTGCATCCTTGTTCTTCTTCTTCTTCTTCTTTTTCTCAGATTTCTCCTCGTCTGATGGCCCGACATCTTCCTTCACTTTTTCCTTCTTCTTCTTATCCTTCTTTGATTTTTCACCATCAGAAGCTACAGCTTTGTCGACACCCTCTTTCTTCTTTTTCTTTTTCTTCTCTTTCTTCTCAACTTCCACTTCCACAGTGTCATCCTCTACTTCTGAGGAGACCTTTGCTTTCTTGACAACAGCATCTGGTGCAGGGCTACCATCAACCTCATCTAGCTTGCGCTTCAGCCCCTCATCTCCATCAATATGTTTATGTTTCTTCTTCTTCTTCTTCTCAACCTCAATGACAGCACTATCCACTTTCACTTCATCAGTAGCCGGCTGTGGCTCTGCAGCTGCTGCAAGGCCAGCAACCATAGAGTCGCCTCCAGGAGGCAAAACCACATTCCTCAACCACTCGGCTGGGGTATTTTCAATCGGTTTCCCACGTTTATCCAACTTCCCCTCTGCAATCAACTTCTTTTTCATCGATGCCTTTGGCCCCAATCCCCACTTCCTCGGGTATGTATCCCTATCCATCACCACCCTCTTAATCCTGGCGACCACTCCGTGATCGCAAGTGGCCATCACTGCAGTTGTCATCTCCGCAATCCCCAATGCAATTGCCTCTCCTTTAGTTGTCATCAACACCACTTCCCCTCCAACGTCGATATCATTCTCAAACCTCAGCAACCCCGGGATCATCAACTTCGCGCCGTAACAAATGGCATTCACCGAACTATCCTTCACCACTAGCCTTTTGTAACTAGTCAAAAGAACCTCCAATGGCATAATCACCCTCCTCAAATAACTCTCATCCCTATAATTATCATAAACCCACTGAGCATCCATCACATCATGCATTGTTACCATATTATCCTTCTCCCCCATTATACCCGACCTCACTCTCCTCAGCTCCTGCATATGCCCTCCCACACCCAACAAAAGCCCCAAATGCACACACAGAGTTCTCACATACGTCCCCGCCTCACACGATATCCAAAACACCACCAGATGCCTATCTGCGTCATACTCGAGCAGCTTACTCTCATAAATAGTCCTAATCCTAAGCTGTCTTTTCACAGCAGAAATCAAAGGAGGCCTCTGGAAAACAGCCCCCGTCAGTGTCTCCAGTGCCCGAGCCACTTTCGCCACCTCAGGGACCTTTGAATGCAACCTAGCAATACACACATACTCCTTCCCAGCACCCTGCTGGGATTTAACCAAACGTGTAGCCCTATCTATACACACAATCAAATTCCCAGTAACCTTCGGATCAAGAGTTCCCGAATGCCCCGTTTTCTCAACCCGCAAAATACGCTTAACCCATGCCACAACTTCATGGGACGACGGATTAGCGGGTTTATCCAAATTCATCACCCCATACTTAATATATTCAGGTAAAGGGCGTTTCAAAGGGGAGTAACCGGAAGGAATAGGAGTATAGTGTCCAGTACGTACATTTAACTTGTCGTAGTTCTTCAAAAGTATTGGCCACTCAGAAGTATCAATAGAGGGAGTATAGCTTTGTGGCTTGATCAAGTAATCAATGGCAGCATCCTTTTCGTTGGTATTCTGCGTCGTGTCAGTGGGTTTTTCAAGTGGGTCGGATTCTTTACTTTTGCTTTTCTTCTTCTTTTTCTCTGAGTGAGAAATTTGAACATCAGCCATGGCGGTGAGGAAAAATTTGAACTTTTACTAATCAGAGGGTAGGGTTTTTTGTGTAATGGAGAAAGGAGGAGAAATTAGGGTTTATTTGGGGGGTTGGGAGTTAGGGTTAGGGTTTTGGCTGTGGCTGATGATAGTGTTAGGCTAAAGACGGGGAGGCCCATAAGTTTCACTTGTGGCCCATTAGTTGTATTTACACCCGACTCCAGTAATGAATCAAAAAAGTGAATAGGATGTAACTTATAAGTTGTATATACCCAACTTGAAAATTGAACCAGAAAAAATGCTCAAAGATAAGTGTAGATGAGAAAAGCAAAGAAGGTCACTACACATCTTGGTACGGCCCACTCGATGAATATCTTTGAAATGTACATTCTAAGTCATCGATGCGCCGAGAATACATACCCTTAAGCTCGTGAATATCTCTGAAATGTACATTCTAAATCGTCGACGATTCAAAAATACCCACCCCTTAGCTCTCACGAGCAAAAACGTGTCAAAGTGTAAGTCCCGAAATTATTGAACATAAATTTGTGCACGAGCCTATGCAAACAAAGTTAAAAGCAATAGAAAGCCTGATTCACATAGGCTGTGGTCAACGGCATTTCCCAACACTTCCGAGAATTATAATGCATGCTCGATAAGGCAGTTACCTTTTGCAAACAAAGCACAACATGGTCCTCGAACTTGGCATTCTCAAAGGTAGTATCAATGTCTTAATTAGCAAGAAATAATAAGAAAAATTAATGAAAATATTGACTCTTAAATATGTAACACTATCTAAGCTTCAAATCAATTGCTATTTGAGTTAAACTTATTTTGAAAAAATCGAGATATTCCAAATTGTTTGTTGAAGTGGGTAAAATTAGGAAAAAAACTATAAAATTATTTGTGTATTTAACTTTGAACGCATAAGACGGGAATAGTTGAACTATAACCATAGTACAACTTGTCGTTTTTAAATAAGTGAAAATTATAGCCAATAAACTTGCAATGCTTAGTTAATCTATATTTATTTACCTCCAAAAATGTCACAAGGTAGATAAAATTGAGGACATTAAGAGCTTCACGACAAATTTAAGGCACGTTTGAAGAGTTGCTACACAATTACACCCAACCGAAAACCATCTCAAGTAATTGCTGGAAAAAGGTTAATTCATTGTACACCCCCGATAATTTTACCATAGTAGATAAGGAATGTGAAATTATCACTAGTGGACGACGACACTTCAGAGGATATGCCAAATCAGGGAAGTGATCACCTCCTCACTGGTGGCACAACACCCCTGCCAGGCGCAGCACCACGACCGGCAGCCTGAGCCTGCCAATTAAGATATTTGAGTCAGGTAAAATATATTGACAGTGAAAAACCTGGCCGTGTTAATCTACCCGTCATATAACTACTAGGCATAAGGGAAATAAATTGTACAAGATGCTCATGCTAAAAGAAAAGTTTAGCTATAGCACCCAATAACCAGAGTCCCAGACCATGTTTAGACAATAGTAATCAGATTGCCAAAAGGACGGAGAGGGAGGATGCTGGGTAACTTACTCTAGCTCGCATAGCAACAGCACGTCCCCGTCCAACTCCAAGTGCAGAACCCTTGCCCTTCAAATGGTGTAAGTCAAAAAATCAGCAAGGATGTACATAGCGAAAGCAAATAAGAATAATAGGCACTAGCAGAATAAAATGGTACCTTGATTCTAGCTTCCAAACGCTTGAACATTGGAGCATTCTTGAGCATATCTGGTATTACCATGAATCTGGTAAAAATTCAGTATTAGTAAAGATATAAAAATTGATGCAAGAAAACCATTTCTAACAGTAATATAGGAGGTACCTGACTTTGCTGCCACGAATGAAAACATGCTCGAGTTGTGAGACCTTCCCATCCTGTAAAAATTGACCAAAATTAGCAATCAGAGAAAGTTGGAAATATAATCTAAAGAAATTTCTTCTTGGTATCAAGAAACACGAGACCAGACAAATAAAAGTATAAAACTTGAACCACTAAGAACTTTATATATTTTCAATATTTTGCACCAACAATAACTTTGTAATACTTTAGTAGTTCAACTACCTAGTACACCATTCTTTTTCATTTTTTCTCATACGAATACTTAGCCCTTGTTTGAGCCCCATATTATCANATCGTTTTGTGTTTTGTGTTTTGAGTGTCCGTTTTGAAATTGCTGAAAATGCGTTCTGTTTGTTGTTTTGGAAAACTGTTTCTGAAAACATAAAACTAGAAAACGCGTTTACTTTGAAATTTTGAGAATATTTTTGTATAATATTTTATTCAAAAAATCCGACTATTCAATAAATTTTAATAGTTTAATGTTAATATAGTATTAAATAATATATAAAATTTGAAATTGCTATCAAATTGTTTCTTTGCTCATCAACAATGGCGTCAAGAATAACAATGGTAAATCATTTGTTTCTTGACTATGCCTCTGCCTCATGCTTTTACACCCAACAGGTGTTCCGCCAGTCGCCAAACATAACCACAAATCAAATACTCGGATAATTCACGCTAGAAGTCCTCTCTTAACACAATTGTAGAAAGAAAATCCAACTCAACAAGATAAGTCCAAAATGAATAATCTTTGCAACCCAAAAAATTTGATCAAAAAGGGGTCCAATGTAAACAACCAAACAATGCTACTATTGTATTGTAGCAATTTTTCAGTATCACTTCAAATCAAAAGGAAAGAAAATCTCTAGGCAGAAACTTCACAGACCCATAAAACCCAGCACCCAAGAAGAATCATATATAAGAATCAATAAACAACACCAATCTCCAAAACCTATATCAAAACACATAATTCTTACACAACCCACATTAAAAAATGTAATATTTAACAAAACCCACAAAATAATTCCAGTAGTCGCAAAATTTAAAAACTCAAGAACCCTTAAATTATAGACACCCACATAAGCATCAAGAAATTTTCGGGAGTGCTCAACAGTCCAGACTCTTTGGTTTCTCAAATTGCGCCAATCAATATACAATTAATACACCTAAAAAGACAGACACATAGAGGGAGAGTGATGTGAGAAATTGTGAGTTTTATAATTTTGTTTTGTTCTGGGAAAATTGAGAAGAGAGAAGCCGGTGGGCCTCTTCCACCTTGCCTCAGGTCCGGCCCTGTCGCCGGCATCAAGAAGAGAGGAGAGAGAAGCCGGCGGGGGCAAGAGAGAAGAAGAGATGGGACTTTGAGTTTAGAAGAGAGAAGCCAGGGACAAAAGCTCAAAAACGATGTTTCGAGTGTTTTCCAATTTTTACTGTGTAAAACACTGAAAATGTCCAAAATGAGATTTTCTTGTTTTGGCATTTTTAGTACAATTTTTTTTTGTTTTCGAGAACGCGTTTTCGAAAATAGGAAAGAGAACGCGTTTTCACTGTTTTGGAAAACTGAAAACAGAAAACGACCTGAAAACGGCAAAGAGAACAGGGCCACATATTTTCAAAACTCATTTTCAACCACATTCTCCAATAAAATAATTTTACACATAAACCGAAAGCTTTTTCTTATTTTTTAACCACATTCTAAAAAAAACACTATTCCAAAATACATTTTTTCCCCAAAAATGGGGCTCAAACAAGGGCATATTTAGTTTTATAAATTCTTAAAAACACCAAGTCATAGCAATTCGTTTAAACAGATACTGTCCAGCTGATTTGTTGCTGAATTTGTATTGTTATCTGTAATCATAGTCATATTTAACAGATTTGTATCTGCAATGTTTTATGTGTATTTTTTATATATTTAGGGAAATAAATTGTACAAGATGCTCATGCTAAAAGAAAAGTTTAGCTATAGCACCCAATAACCAGAGTCCCAGACCATGTTTAGACAATAGTAATCAGATTGCCAAAAGGACGGAGAGGGAGGATGCTGGGTAACTTACTCTAGCTCGCATAGCAACAGCACGTCCCCGTCCAACTCCAAGTGCAGAACCCTTGCCCTTCAAATGGTGTAAGTCAAAAAATCAGCAAGGATGTACATAGCGAAAGCAAATAAGAATAATAGGCACTAGCAGAATAAAATGGTACCTTGATTCTAGCTTCCAAACGCTTGAACATTGGAGCATTCTTGAGCATATCTGGTATTACCATGAATCTGGTAAAAATTCAGTATTAGTAAAGATATAAAAATTGATGCAAGAAAACCATTTCTAACAGTAATATAGGAGGTACCTGACTTTGCTGCCACGAATGAAAACATGCTCGAGTTGTGAGACCTTCCCATCCTGTAAAAATTGACCAAAATTAGCAATCAGAGAAAGTTGGAAATATAATCTAAAGAAATTTCTTCTTGGTATCAAGAAACGCGAGACCAGACAAATAAAAGTATAAAACTGGAACCACTAAGAACTTTATATATTTTCAATATTTTGCACCAACAATAACTTTGTAATACTTTAGTAGTTCAACTACCTAGTACACCATTCTTTTTCATTTTTTCTCATACGAATACTTAGCCCTTGTTTGAGCCCCATATTATCAAAAACCCAGAGACCGTGAGCGTCCATTTTGAAATTGCTGAAAATGCGTTTTTTTTTTGTCATTCTGGAAAACTGTTTCTGAAAACATAAAACTAAAAAACGCGTTTACTTTGAAATTTTATATTAAATAATATATAAAATTTGAAATTGCTATCAAATTGTTTCTTTGCTCATCAACAATGGCATCAAGAATAACAATGGTAAATCATTTGTTTCTTGACTATGCCTCTGCCTCATGCTTTTACACCCAACAGGTGTTCCGCCAGTCGCCAGACATAACCACAAATCAAATACTCGGATAATTCACGCTAGAAGTCCTCTCTTAACACAATTGTAGAAAGAAAATCCAACTCCACAAGATAAGTCCAAAATGAATAATCTTTGCAACCCAAAAAATTTGATCAAAAAGGGGTCCAATGTAAACAACCAAACAATGCTACTATTGTATTGTATCAATATTTCAGTATTACTTCAAATCAAAAGGAAAGAAAATCTCTAGACAGAAACTTCACAGACCCATAAAACCAGCACCCAAGAAGAATCATATATAAGAATCAATAAACAACACCAATCTCCAAAACCTATATCAAAACACATAATTCTTACACAACCCACATTAAAAAGTGTAATATTTAACAAAACCCACAAAATAATTCCAGTAGTCGCAAAATTTAAAAACTCAAGAGCCCTTAAATTATAGACACCCACATAAGCATCAAGAAATTTTCGGGAGTGCTCAACAGTCTAGACTCTTCGGTTTCTCAAATTGTGCCAATCAATATACAATTAATACATCTAAAAAGACAGACACATAGAGGGAGAGTGATGTGAGAATTGTTCTGGGAAAATTGAGAAGAGAGAAGCCGGCGGGCCTCTTCCACCTTGCCTCAGGTCCGACCCTGTCGCCGGCGTCGAGAAGAGAGAAGCCGGCGGGGGCAAGAGAGAAGAAGAGATGGGACTTTGAGTTTAGAAGAGAGAAGCCAGGGACAAAAGCTCAAAAACGATGTCTCGAGTGTTTTCCAATTTTTACCGTGTAAAACATTGAAAATGTCCAAAATGGGATTTCCTTGTTTTGACATTTTTAGTACAATTTTTTTTTGTTTTCGAGAACGCGTTTTCACTGTTTTGGAAAACAGAAAACGACCTGAAAACGGCAAAGAGAACAGGGCCACATATTTTCAAAACTCATTTTCAACCACATTCTCCAATAAAATAATTTTATACATAAACCCAAAACTTTTTCTTATTTTTTAACCACATTCTAAAAAAAACACTATTCCAAAATACATTTTTTTCCCAAAAATGGGGCTCAAACAAGGGCATATTTGGTTTTATAAATTCTCAACAATTCGTTTAAATAGATACTGTCCAGCTGATTTGTTGCTGAATTTGTATTGTTATCTGTAATCATAGTCATATTTAACAGATTTGTACCTGCAATCTTTTATGTGTATTTTTTATATATTTGTACAGAACGGAACAAATGATAGGATGACAAATAGAATGTGAGCTTTCGAGAGGCTCACTCTCTCCCCCAAACTACTCTCAAATTTCTGGATGATCCCTACAGAAATGCCCCTCCCCTATTTAGTATTTATAAAGTTGGTGCTAAGCCTAAATTCCCCACGTACACCTCATCCTTTTTAACTATAACCAAATGGAAGCCTATCATCTTTATTTATCTAATTTGAATAATTACTTAGTTCTAAAAATATTTAAAGAAACACAAGTCATTGCAATTCATGTATACAGCATACACAATACACTTGAAAAAGACAATGCAAACATGATACACTTGAAGAAGACAATTAAAAATTCCAAAAGGTGCAAAAGTAGAGTGAAAGAAAAAATGATTGAGCAAAACATGGAAAAAGACAACTAAACACACAAAATAAACAAGCATAGTTGTAAGATCTTCACTTTCAAGAATCCAATGCATCACAATAACTAAATCTCCTATTTGTGTTGAAAAGAAATCCCTGAGATTGTTTAAATAATAAGAACACTACTACAGGGAAAGGAAAGTAAGGATATGCAAGGAAGAAAAAATTATACATCATCTTTTCAAAATTAGATTGGAACTTTCAACCATGATAATAAAGAAAACATTTTTGTTCACCTATGCAATCTTTCCCAACTTCTACTGAAGTTAGATTTTACAACATAAACACCAGAAATTGAAATTAAAAGGAGATCCCATTACTGAATGTGTGAAGCAGAAAAATTCTCTAGACTTCATTATTATCAAAACAAATTAGAATTTTTCAGTACAAAAAAAAAAAGTGTCTCCCTTCCACTGGCAGGATTTAAGAGAGAAATAAGAAAATCTAAAAGAAGTCCAATAGTTATTCAAAGTTCAGAGACTTTTAACGTGTTGAGCATGAGAAAAGAAATACAGAAATTATAATATTTGAATACCATTTATTAATCACTTCATTATACCGTATAAGACCGATCTCGTTCATAAGAACAAATAAACAATATAAATTATTGAACAAAGAAAACAAATCAATTCACTTACGAATCTTATTCTACACTCCATTATTAAGATGTACTCAGGGTTTATCAAATAATTAAAATCGGAAACATTTATATAAACACAATTCACTATAAGATCTACCGAAATGTAATAAATACTGAAATGCCCAAAAACTTTATTCAGAATATTAACAAATACCCAATAACACACCTTAGCAGTGTAAGTGATGTTTTCAAGTTGGCAGTTCCAGTTATCCTCGCACTCCACCATGCTGCCTCTGTAAAGCTCGCCGCTCTTCAGCTCCACTGTCACCACATGCCCCGATGCTTCGTGCAGTAGCTTCACCGGAATCCCCAAACTCCGACTCATTGTGATTTGCACTGATTTTTTTCGTTTTTCTTCTGATTCAGTAGCAAAAATGCTCCTTCCGAGAAGGTTTTGGGGCAATAGGCAAGTGCGTCTAAAGAATAATATCTAGGGTTTAGTGTGTGCCGTGTGCCGGTGTGCGGGGAAATTTTTCAAGGCAACCGACTAAATTTTTCTTCTAGTAAAATAGTTGCATTTTAAAAGGATTTTTGTTAATTTATTTTTCAAAAAAATCTAAATTACATAATGAAGTCATTTTTATTACTTTTTTTTTTTTTTTTTTTNAAATACAATACTTTAAGCATACAATTTCACATTTAACAAATTCATAAAAAAAAAAAATCATAAATCAAGTGCCAAATAATAATATAATATATATTAGGAAAAATTGCAGTTACGCTATCAAACCTTTCATTTTATTACAGACTTCATCCAAACATTTCGTTTGTATCACATACAGTACCAAACTTGTCAAAAATTCGCTCCCGAAATCCAAATGGATGGAAACCGTTAATTCATCCACCATTAGGACCTAGAGTCTAGAGAACATTTTGACCAAATTTTGACTAAATTTTAAAGGGTAAAAAAATAACTTCATATTTTTATATTAAAGAATAAAAATAATTAAATTAAAAAATCAAAAATCGGAAGAAAAGAATTTGAAAAAATTTTGTGCTTCTTCCCTACCGACTTATCGTGACCATTTCCCATCCTACTTCATAGAAGCCAAACCAATGTCCACCAACCCAATCACGTCGACCACCGCCATCCTCCACTTCCAAATCAATCGACGACCGTCATCCATCATACCCAAACTGCTGCACCACAATCGCCACCAAAGTCACTGCAAACAATTCATATCGTTGCCCACCCACCCAAACCAAAACCTACAACCATCACCACCACACAACTCCACCATTTTCAAGAATTTGAGCAATAAATCAGCAAATCACAACTACCAAAGTCTCAAATGTCGTGCATAAGTCGTGGTGGCTCCAGTCAAATTTAAGTATGGATTCCACAACTCCACCCTTTTTTGAATAGTTGGAAGAATATCACAGTTTTTTCTTTCAACACAGAATTGAGTGAATAACAAATAAATCAATGGAGAAATTATTAGGTAATCGATTTGGATAGTTGGAATAGGGATGGAGATTAACGAGAAGCCTATAAATCAGTCGTTGCAGTTGAAATAAAATCAGCCCATCTATTGTCAATTACAAAATATTGGAATTGGCATCGAAAGAGAGGCAAATAATGCTGAAGTGTAGGTCGGGGTGGCGATGGGCGTGGCGATGGGGTGAGTGGCAGTGGTGGTTATGGTTCTTAGTTTTGGTTTTCGAGAGGTGGGTAGGTGTGTGTAGGGTATGTGGAGAAAATGAAGTGTATTTGTTTTTAGGTTTTTTATTTTAATTTTTTTTATAGAAAATATAATTTTACCATTTTTATCCTTAAAAATTTTGGTCAAAATATTGACTCTAGGTCAACTAACTGATGAACTAACGATTTTCATCCATTTGGACTCCGAATGCGAATTTTTGAAATGTTTGGTATTGTGGATGATACAAATGAAAGGCTTGGATCAAGTCTGCAATAAAATGAAAGATTTTGTATCGTGCAATTTTACCTATATATTATTCTAACTAAATTTTAGAAAATCTATAGTTTAAATTATGTCCATGTTTGGCTTAAACTAAAATCCAATTAAAATCTCAAGTAAAAGTCAACAATTAATTTTAATTATACATTTCATGGGTTTCACAACTTTTCAATCACACATTTCATCTACTTTTATTAAAATCTACTAAAATTTTGATTTTAATATGTACCAACCAAGGGCTATGATAATTTTGATAAACATTATCACATAACATATCAGAAATGATCTAATGAGCACCGGTGCTCATCTTATCCTAAACACCAATGAGTTGGCACATTAATTCATTGGTGGATTGGAACTCACAAAATCTTTATCCACCAATGAATTAATGTGCCAACTCATCGGTGCTTAGGATAAGATGAGCACCGGTGCTCATTAGATCATTTCTGCATAACATATATGTCATTTATATATAATACATTCTCTCATATTCACACACCCTCTCTCTCTCCCTCTCTCCCTCTCTCTCTCAATAAATATCTCGTAACTCATCTAAGGACTTGTTTGAACCCCCATTATTTTGAAAATAATGTATTTTTGAATAGTAATTGATGGAGAAAGTGTGGTTAAAAAATAAAGTTTTAAATTTGTGTGTAAGATTATTTTATTAAAGAATGTATAATTGAAAAAAAAAAAGAGAAAAATACATTTTGAAAATAATGAGAATCAAACGGGGGATAAATATTTGTTATATCTCACAATTTTTTCATTTTCTCTCTTACCTTACACTTTTCCTCTCTCTAATATATATATTATTTAATAATTATTTTTCTCTTTCCCACTTTCTCACTCTTACACCTCACACTTCATCTTTCTCTTCCTTATCTCACATTTTATGTCTCTCTTACACCTCACACTCTCTCTCATTCTATAATCATGATTTTAAAAAAAAAAAAAATTAGTCAGTCACATTTTGTGACATCTTAAAATTTTGTGACCTATAATTTAATTAAACAGGTCACAACACCTCGGGCTTATTGGATAGCTTGGTGAATAGTCACAAACGATCATAAAAACATAATCGTAGGTCACAATTATATCTTTAATAGTAAATTATACGTTTTTATAGGTTACAAATTATAAATCGTATACAAATTATAGGTCACAAAACGCACATTTTTTAGATCGCATATTATTTGTTGGTCACAAATTATTGATTTTATTGATCACAATTACCCAATAATTGATCACACTCGCTCTTCATTCCATCCACTCCACTCTACCACCACTATCGACACTACAAAAAAACACCAAAACGTTGTTGCCATGTGCTACCATCTCCACCACCACAAACCACCATCAGCACATACACAAATCAACTCCGACGTAGCGCGAATAGAGATAGTATAGGCTTGTCATACCATTCAATTTGCGCAAGTAATATGGGTTCCATGTTATCACCTATAATGGATCACCACGACCACTACTTGCCCAACCATCGCCACCTCCTACACCACAACCTACCACGATCTCCTCTAATCCACAAACTCGCTACCATAACCACCACCACATCCACATCCACATCAAATCCAAATTAACACCCCCCACAACCTATACACCACACCACAAAATTCACATATCCAAACAACCACCACATAGATTCACACCACCACCCTACAGTTTGACGTCGCACCACCATATCACCCTGATCTAACAACCGCATCACCAACGCCCAAATCCATACCAACACAGAGTCACAGGCATCAGAACCACCACACAACGACCACCAAATAGCTTCAACGAGGTTGAGAGGGTATATATGTTTTTAAATTATAAAAATAATTATAACCTGATATTTGAAAATAATAATAACCATGACCTGATTTTTGAAGTTAAAAATTGAAATGTAGGGTTTAAGATAATTTTCCCCTCAAAAAAATATAAATGCATTAAACCCCTATTTGGTGATAATTAAAATTAGATTTTTAGTAGATTTTAATAAAAGATCATGAAGTGTGTGATCGAAATATTATAGATCCCGAGAAATATTTTGTTAAAATTAATTGTTGACTATGATTAGAATTTTAATTTTAATCCCAAACAGAGGCTAAAGATTCGACAAATATGATGTTACTGCAAAAAAAATAATCAAATGATGCACATAATAATTTTCCTAGCAAATATTAAAATGATAAAACACACACAAAAAAAAAAAAAACCAGTAAATTTTTCTTGTCACCACAAATTAATCAATTGATGTGCAAGCAGTTTGTTTTTCCATACAATAATCAAGTAACTATGGCAAAAAAAAAAAATACAAGTACAACGTAACAAACACCTTGCTACAAGATGCATATTTGGCTCAGTCTTTTACTGCTGTTAATCTTCTCGGGTCCTTGAGGTCTCTCCCCCGTTCTTTGGCTTCGCTGGGGCAACTTTGGCAGGGGTTGATCGCTCTGATTGAGAGAACTGAATCAAGATTTGCATAAGAACCGTGACAATGGCCAACGCTACTGCTGAAAACGTGAGACCTTTCCACGAGGAGAGAAGTGAGGACCATTGGAAAAGTTTTATGGCACCCAACATGAGTAGGATTGCCCAAGAAACCACCACCTGTTTTGCAGAAGGCAAGCCATTAGTTTGACACGACCAATGAAACCCAATATAAATGAGGTGCGTGTTTGGCTAAGCTCAAAACATTTTGTTTCGAAACATGTTTGGATAACTTTAAAGTAAAAATAATTGCTGTCAAAATATGTAACTTATTTCTAACTTTCATCAACAAAAATATTATTTCTTTTAAAAATATTTTGTTTCCTTGTAAGTAAACTCTTTAAGCTTCGCCAAACATGCCCGAACTAATTTAATGAATCTACCAATAGGGACTTCACAGGCCGGCCAGTGTCTTGCAATTGTTCACCGAAGGAATCCTCAGCTACATGCTTGTCCAATAACTTATCCTAATTCACAAGAAAACATACATAGAAAAGGATCATCACAAGTCAAATTGCAAACAGAAATTCTTCGTATTCTTCAGATACAGTCTTCCTCCAATGGTTAACAGTTTCAGAAGAAGTAAATATCAAAACAGAAGGAAATCATAAGCGTCACCTTTGCCACAAAGGCATCCCTACACCACTGAGCAACAGCATCATCTGTTTCAGGTAAATCCTTCATCAAGTGTCGCTTGAGGTGCACATGAACCTGCAAAATGGCAAATTATCAGCGTCTAAAAATTGGGGAAAAGGGAAAAAATAGCAGACTAACATGATGGTCAGATCGTCAAAGCTATTTCTTTAGAGGTATAACACAATGGGTAATTTCATTTAGCTACCAATATTTTTTCAAAATATACTATAATCCTGAATATATAATAGTTTAGCTGCCATTGCACACAGTAGTT